GAGAAGTGTATGCTGCGATCGTTTGAATACGTCTTGCGAATGCTTTCATGAAAAAGGCGACACGCTGCTACTAATTAACCAACTGGCAGAAGACCCCGGGGACGGCCAAGAATAATCTGGGGCAACTGTTCATAAGGACTCTGCTTATGACTCAGGTCATCTCCTGCCGCAGGTCAAACATTAGAGATACAGTCAGACGTGTCTGCCTCTGCCACTCTAAATGATAAGCGTTCATCGAAACTGATTGACTGATTTACAAACGAGTACATCTCAAATCTGCATCACCTTCAATTGACGATTGAGACTGTTTCCAAGTTTCTATCGATAGTCATAATCATTAACAATCGTGAAAACTGTAGAGCAGACTGGTAGGGATGGAGTTTGAATCTGTGACACCATTTGGTATCGATGGATTAATCTGTGACACCGTTTGGTAATAGGTTACTAAATACGCTGGAGTGAGGATTCAACATGAATAACGAATTTTTGCATATTAACTGTAAAATTCTTTGAGCAAGGAATTCACCTCATTTTGCTTCGGTGCGACCAGCCGTAAAAGATGGCAGGTTGTTGATCTGTGGATAGCACGGGCAGCATGGTGATTTGGTATGGTCATACATTCATGCTGTTTGATGCTGCGCTTTACGGCTGTAATTCGCTTTGCCATACCTGATAGCTGACTAAAAATCAGCACGTACTGTAAACGCAATTTAAAAAAGAGCATAAGTCAAAATGGGTAACCAAAAAACTTCTGTAAAATCTGCCAAACCGTATATAACCTTGCTCTTGTTCGACTGATTGGTTGGTTTAAAGGACGACTTTGTCGTAACCTACTGACTCCAATATTCAGTTTAACAGTTCGCAGTTGCCAGTATTATAGTTCCATCAGATTCTTGTAACGTGAATGAGTACGTTTGTCGTTTTCACGTTCTTCATTGCCCATCTAGCGTGGTTTCACTTCACGGCTTTTGCAGGTAAGCACTTTCGTATGTGATTAATGTTTCTGTTTTTATGACCTCCTGCAAAAGTGATACAATGCTAATTAGCGTTGTTTCGATATAATGCTCATTTTACAGTACATGAAATTACTGTTTATCGCTTGGCGAGCTCCGCTATAGCAAGGCGTTCAGGAGGGACACATTCGTGTAAAAGGGTGCCATGGTCACGTCATTCAGTTGCGGAAATATATGGGGATATGCAAACCTTTCAGACGACAGGCATTTCCGATCTTTGTGGACATCAAACTAGAAACACTCGTCCAACGAATACTTCGTCCTAGAAGAAGTGTAACGAAACCGTGAATAGGAAAATAACTTTTGGAATATCAGTGCAGGAGTCGAGGCAGCAAATTCGTAGCGGAAGCTCTGAAATTTCCTCAGACTCACTCTGCTTTAGTCACACAGGTTCGTGTCATTTCATGCAGAACGCCACTGGTCAAGCCAGCTCGCCGGTCGATCTCGCCTCCCATGCCCAGTCGTTTGCAAACAGGACCCCGCGGCAGGTGAACTTCTTCACCTATTCCTTCGTCTGACCTCAGAGCGCAACAGGCAGGAGGACGAGAAAATACTAGGCATTTCGTTTTAGACACGTTGACATCGGTACCGGCCAGGTAGCGCTCGGCCACAAAATTCTCCAGAGAGCCTTCGAGATCGGTTCCAAAAATTACCAACAAAACAAGGACATTTCCAAACGGATTATTCCCTCTCTGTGCATTACAAGAGAGGGGATAGAAAGCAGCCTTGGCGAAGCCCGGTGCCAATGTTAAATTCTTCACATTTACTTTTACGTAGCACCTGCTATTATAACATGGTGACCTGATGGTTCGTAGCAACTGACCATCGAACCAATATATTTATAACGACAGCAATAACTTCGGTCGGAAGCCGGTAATGGGCATTCCCTAGGCCAACAACTCACATATGAACGCGATGAGGAAACTCATAATTTCTCAATTCTCAACAATATGGTGAAGATTTGGTCAGAGTTGCTTCGGTCTGACCTGAAGCCACATAGCATTTCATGTATCCTGCATCAATTATGCAGCGGCATCTACTTTCTGACACATTTCTGTAGACTTTACCCGGGAAGCTCAGTATCACAATTCCATAAAAATGTGTACATTCTCGTTTCTTCACCGGAGGTACTATCACCCTCGTTCCCCAGCCACTGGTGTCTTCGCCATAGCCATTACAGCTTCATACCCACTTGTGGCCACAACAGGCCTTTTTCGCTCAAAGTGTTAAGCATTTTAGGGCAAATTTTATCGATTCCAGTAGTCTTTCCACCCTTTCACTCGTCTTGTAGCTTCTGCTGAAAGGAGGCGTCATGCTTTTTTGACATCGGCCGGTGTATTTTAATATTTTAATGTTTATACGGTAACATATACGAAATACAAGCCTCTGAAATATCACCGTTGATGAAGTCGAAGTGGTTCTAGCGCACAAAAGGATGAGAGATGCATGCGGCATTTCGCTTATTATTTAAACACCATTGAGCTGTAGCCTGTAGCTTAATTACCCATGGCAATCCCGCAATGCAACTACGAGCAAGCGGACGGTGCAATACGCCATTAATTCTGGACTTGAAGATTTGCCTTATTTCGGTACTCATTCCTTCAGAGTGAATGCCATACGAATGTAGAGCTTCGGGTGATATTATTTGACCCAATTTTTAAATTTTTGTCGTTCTGATCATTTTCAGTTTCCTATATATTCATAAGCACTATCCGAATTTTCCGTTCTTCTTGCCCAATTGTCGTCGTTGATTGTTAGAGGGCACGCAACGCAGGTGGAATGGTTTCCGCCTGCTTTTTCACAAGTGCATTCAGATTCATAAAAAATAATTATTTGACGGCGAATCCTGCATCATTAAGGCGTTTCTTTGGGGTCCACCACAGACCTCCATGGCTGCCGTAGCAACCGAGAGATCACATCCCACAAAACTTGGCTGTGCAATGCTATGTCTTACTTCGTTCGTTATCAAAGCGCTATCCACTCAAATCTTTATGCATCTAAGAAATGCTTAACTTCTATGCCCATTGAAATGATATTCGATAACGAGCATCTTAGTATAGCGACGCTCTAGCAGATGCATTAAAGGTGCTAATCGTGTCTTACATTAATAACATCATTTTTAGTTTATATTAAGCATTATTTGTTGTTGCGACATTCATCTTACTTCAGGCAGATGTAAGAGAGAGTTATATGCACAAAGCGATGTGCAGATTTCCTGCTCATCTGTTGCCGCTACCATTTCATTCACAAGAAATAAGCTGTTTGTCAACAGATTAATATTTTCTTTTGAGAATTTTACTATGCAATCCGTTTGGAGATTGGTTTAACGATTTGTTTTGAACGTTTTCATAGATCGTTTCATGCTCAGCTGTATCTTACTTATGAAAGACTGCACAATCACATGCAGGACTATTAAAATTCGACACTGCAAATAGGGCAGAGACAGATTTTTTCAAAGTGAAGTTTTTCGTGCTCTTCTTTTTGCTTGTCGGCAGTGTGACATCACACACCGGTTAACTAATGGCAGTCAACACCCTGTTCATAAATCCAGTGTCAAAGTGTTCGTCACGGAAGGCGAGCAGAGGTAAAAAGAAATTGCAGGGTAAGTGGAAGATTCACACCGTTTTTTAGGTGTGATGCAGTCGATAGGTAGTTCGCCTTGCACTTCAGAGACGGCGGGTAAAAATGCTCAAGTGTGGCGCGAATTGTTTCACACTTACCGCCAATGCCGTTGGTCAAAGTGTTTACCCCAGTTTGCTTCGAAACACGGTTATTAAGTGGTTGACCTGAGAATAATGGGGGCAGCATGATTGCTTTTTATGGCCTGCCCGAGCCAGCGAGATCCACGACCATGTTGTGGGATGCGCCGCTTAACGGCTGCAATTCATCTTGACCTAACTGATTTCTCACTCAAAGATCACCTCTACATCACCTGTGCAAAATCTAAGCTGTAAATTTCGTAAGAGGAGGAATGTATTGTTTCGTGGCTGCTAAGATCCACTGCGAATGCGTGAAGAGTCCGTCCGTTTAACGTTACAGTGTTGATCAGGGATTGAGACATCACCTTATAATTTTGCAGCAACTCCTGCAAGGTTGGTCTCTTCTTCAGCCCATTGAAGAAGACATGTGGCCACGCGCAGATAGCAAAGAGCGAAAGACTTTGATTTAACAAAACTGCAGCTAAAAACGTAGACCAAAATTATGATTATAATATAAAAGCGGGTGAATGACCGTTATACAGTAACGCCCTTTCGGTTCAGCTTCAGGAATTCCGCACCGTACCTGCTTCATTAAAATTTTAATCCAGTGCACCTAAGTGTCACAGTTAACGACCATTCCAGAATCGCTTCGTGAAACGAAGGGGCATAACAGCTACAGCGACTTCTCACGGGCGGGCTGCACTCGTTGAGTATTTCGTATTTTAGAATTGATTAGTGCCATGTAGCAAGGTGCTTCTGCTTTCAGCACTCAGATAGGTACAGCTTAAGTACGCGAACCGAAACAATTATGACGTAATACCTGGAGTATGCAAGAAACTACAATTTAAGGTCAGAGGATTCATGAGGGTACGAATCAAAGGTGGTACAACTGATTGTTTGTAGAGCTGAAATTTTGTTTCTTGGATAATGAAGATCCCTCGTTTAGCGGTTCTTTGAGAATAGGAGACTGCTGATTCTGCGTGAAGTGGGTGGTTGGTATCTTGCCATATCCATTCATTGAAGATGGCAGAACTGTCATAAACATTTCTGCACAATCTTAATAGCCAATAGACCGTATTGCAATGCCTCAGATCTCTCGACTATCCGAACACGTCGCGCAGCAGACAAACATATTTCCTGCAATGGCTCTAAAATGAAGTGGCAAAGTCTTAACGCTAACTGGCATTAAATGGCACTTTGTAGTCTATTCTATATGCTTTTGTGAATTTCATCCTCCTCCATCTAACAACTTCATCGATTAAATATAGCATAAATAAAGTTTAATAATTCATAATGCAAAATCTAATATGGTCACTTTCGCTCGTGGATCACACATTTTCTTGTTGTTCGCTGCGGTTGGTAGGTTTGGAGCCAAATGGCAATCTTTTGCTTCACGCTGCTGATTAATTTTTGCCGGGCGACAGGGCTGACAAGCTTCATCCTTTCCGCCCAGAGTTGGTGTCCCATGTCAGGTTGACGCTGGCGTAGAATTGGATTATTAACGGTTCCTTGACACGATTGTGTACACACTCTCTTTGCTTGATAATGCCAGTGCATCCACAACTCAAGAAAATGAGTCATCACAATACATTATGACTCCAAACGTACCAGCTCCTGCAGCATTATTTTTGACTTGTATATTAATAAGCCATTCTGAGTTGTTTTTCAGGTACACCCACAAACGCATGAACGACATTCTCTATTTCCCAATGTTGCACATCATCATGTTCGATAATTCGACACCAGTGACCGATGCTTTTAATTTGTTTTGACTCATCAGATTTACAGTTTGGAGTTTTGAGTGATCTGAAGTAGCTTTTGTAGTTTTGCCTTCATATTGACGATTTTTAGTTTTGCCAGAAGACGCGAAGGCCACTTCTTTACATTCGCTGTTTAAAAGAATCGTGTACAGGGGGAAAGAAGATGTGGAAAACCTGAGGTCGCAAGTGGCCGAAAGGGCCTTATCAATGGTTCTAGGAGTTTTAGCAACGAAACTGCTGAAGAACTTCGACGAAAGCAGACGGAACACCGTTGTTCAGTGCACCGACAACTCGACGGAATTCCAGCAGTACAGCGCATGTCTCAGACCGCTATTCCTGGTCAAAGACACCGGTAAATCGAGTTCGACCCGACTTAGACGCATGTATCGGGAAGCGAACGAAGGTGGCGAATTTTTGGTAAGCTGCCTACTGTTAGTGAGGAAATATCTCAAAACAAACCCCCTCCTTACCACCCGATTATGCGGCTAAAATAGTTCTTCGAAAACGAGATGCAGAACCCCAGATTTTACACCGCATTTTTGTCGTTGCCGGCCTGCCCTGCCTTCTAAATTGCGCAGTCTAACGATTGCACCTCTAGCTACCGAAGAACAAGAACAAAAACCAGCTATCGTCTATTGCAATGACAGAAACCACTACAAACTCCGCATTCTTTTTAATAGAAAATGGCACAGACGACCGCAGTGGATCTAAATTCACAGATTCATCCGATCTCGCCGTGTGAAGAACGCAAAGGTCGCGCGTTGAATGATAAACACATGAAAAAGAAGACGAATTACCATTTTTAAACGAGATAGCGCTTTTGACAAAAAATTATAGTGTTCGACGATTGTCGACATAACGGCAATAAGACATGGCGAGAAAGTTCACCCATGTTGAGGAACTTTTTTTTAAAATGCTGGAGTATGGGAAACATTCATACAGGCACATGATGTGTAAGTGATAGAGAAGAACAAATACAATTTAGAATCGGCCAAAAAGTAAAAAAATTTTACCTGTTTCTTAAACCATCCCAAGACATTTTACAATTAAATTAATAATTATGTCATACCCACTGTAATAAGTGCATGCTGCTGTAATAAGCAACATCGCCGCCATTTTTATTTTGCGTTCAATGACAGTACGAATAGAAAGTGCCGCACCAATTCATAAGAACTTCAATTTTTCCCTTTTATTAATTAATTAACCCTTATTTTCTTTTGTTAAATGGCAACAACTCACAGAAGACCAGATTTAACGGCGTATTGCATCACCCTTTAATTTTTAGTTGCCTAGGGTCTATCCAAGGAGGCCACGGTTCCATCGTATTCAAGCACCTGCAACGTCAGATGTAACTCGCGTCATTTCTTTCACTAGAACCATCTCACACCCACCCTTAAAAACGTATCAACAACCAGCACACCTAATATGCTACCGCATCAATATAAGAAAATGTGGCATGCCATAACTCAAGCAAAACCATATTTTCCCACGTATAGTATCGTATCGCTATTTGATAGAATTAGGGATGGGTGATGGTAGCTATGGCGGACTGAACGGCAAATGGGTTCCTACAAGTCTTCAGACTCATAAATATTGCTTTTATAATTGTCAGCCAGCTACAGTTATTCCTTTGCAATGATGTCTTGGAAAATGAATCATACAAATTATTACGCTGAGTGTCATATTGCCCTTGTTTACTGACGATATTCATTCATCACGTAAACATGAATATTTTCTCATATTTGCTGACCGGCGCCGCCCATAACTTACAGCAAATTGAGTGCCTGCAGTGAGAGCTCAGCAACGAGGAGACTCGGAACGATACAGTGTTGAAGTTCGCAACGGTTGCCAGTTTGATGCCGCTTAGGTCCACGGAATTTTGCAACAGCTCAAGGCCCCAAATGCGCAGCTGCTGACCTCCGCTGCGACCATATTATCCACAGTATGGCCCGTGCGATAGATAACCTAGCGACTCTGTGACTTAAGCGAAGTGGCTAATGATTTGCTAACAGCGGCAGAAGAATCAAATACTGAATTGGACCAACCGTAGGAGTGCTTACGTACGAACTTACGTCGTGACTGAAGCAAAATACATACTGTTAGCCTCATGGTTCCGCAAGCATTATGAAATTTGTATAACTGACATTTTATCACCAAGTCAAGTATCCATTTTGAATATACAGTGAAACCTCGATTTACGAGTTTTCCAAGATACGATCCGTCGCTCGGTCGATTTTTTGATTTATGATGCGACCCGAAATCTGAGTTACAAGTTGCGAGTTACGAGCAAGCAATCGAGCTTATGCCACCGTCCATCAGCAGCGTTCCGTTAACGTGGTCATCTTGTCGTGCGAACATCTCTGTCGTATTGCTGTTGCTTAGTTTTCGCCTTTTGCTTATTGTGGAAAATTTCTTTGCTTTTACCATTGGTCTTAAGAACGTGAGTGCCTAGATC